CTTCATCCTAATATTTTGTTTATCCTTAATGTATTTAAAGAAATCTTTACTGTTAATTTTTACATTCTCAGCCAACATTTTTTTCATACATCCTTCCTGATGACCTAATTTCCTGTTTGACCAACTTTCTTGATCTTCTAAATCACCCGTCATACCAGATGATTTAAATTTATTAAGCTTTTCTTTAATTTTCTCTTATACTCTCTGTGAGCCAACCTTTTTCTATCTATTAGGAATATGTTTACATTGAATATTTAAAAATATATCACTAAAAATTCTCCACATCTAATCAGTGTCTCCAAGTAACTCAACTGCCCAATTTACAACAGATAATTCTTGTTGCATCCCTTCAAAATTAGCTTTTTTGAAATTTTTAACCACAATATCATTATTCCTTATCTCCATATGCAGCAAAACATAGAAACTCATAGAGCAATGATCACTTGCACCCATATGTTCCCCAATTTCTATATTAGAAGTTAGCAATAAATCTAAAATAGCAATGTTTCTAGTAAGTTCCTTAACCAATTGGTGAAAAAAAACCATCTTGAAAAGTCTCCAAAAACATTCCTCCCTCATGGTTTGACTCTAGCATTTCCCAATCTGTATGCCTCAAATTGAAATCAATCATAATTATGACTTCATTAACAGCTAAAATCTTAACATCACTACAAAGTTTCTTGTTAATTTCATCAGTATCATCTGGTGGTCGGTGACAAATTCTCACTAAAATCCTTGTCCCTTTATATCCACTAATATAAACTCAAATGGATTCAATTTCCTTTCAACAGGATGTAACTCACATTTTACATATAAATCCACTCCTCCCCCTCTCTTTAGCTCTATCCCTATTATATAACCTGTAACCCTGATGATATTTCTGTCATCAAAATCATCTATGTTTAACCATGTTTCAATTATTCCCATTATATCAAAATCCTCCATTCCTACCAGTGATCTAAAATCATCTATTTTATTTCTTATACTTCTAACATTACAATAGTGACAATTAAGCCTATCCTTATAACTACTTCTATACTCATTTCCTATGCTAAACTTGTCTCTACATCTTATTTTTTTTGGCATTTAGTTTTTCCTGGCCCTCACCACTGTCTAGTCCTACTTTAAAACTTCCCTTACAGCTGAGTTAATAGCCTTAGCAAACAAGCCAGCCTCTACCCTATTTAAATACAAACCATACATTCCAAAAAGCTGCCTTCTTTCATTGAACTGATCCCAGAAGTCCAACCAGCTAATCTGTTCATCCTTACATACTAACCTAAGCCTAGCAATCAGCCCTAATGACCTACTTATAATTTCATCCCCACAGTTAATTCTCATTAGTATCCCTGACACAATTAAGTTATTGCCCTTTTCTTTGAATGCCTTTATTAACCCCTTGTATTCACCAATTAGCTCCTCTGACCTACCTTTCTCTACATCATAAACCACTATGTGCATGACAAAAACTGCATAATTGCTAATCCCCTTTATTATATCTCCTGCTCTGTCAATTATATCCTCCACCTGTGTCCCTGGGTAGCATAATCTGATTCTTTTCTCCCTATTTACCCCACAGACTATCCTACACACGTCTTGTCAAAGAATCACCTATAACTATAACCTTCTTAAATTTATCTTTCACATTCTTCTCTGATCCTTTTCTTTTCCTTCCCTCCAATAGTTCATCTGCACAAGCCATAGGTTTAAATCTTTTACTCAATAGAATAAGCTCATTATAATTAAATTCACTACTTTTAGCCCTAATAGTCCTGTTTCTAACTTCCTGAAAGTCACTGTTAACTGATGCATCCCTTACATGTAAAAGCTTAAGCTCCTCTTGAAATCCTGCTGCCATTTCCCACAATCTACACTTCTCTTTATCTATTGCCTCTACATTAATTATGATAGCCTCCACTTCTCTTCCAACCTACAAACTCTACATACAAATTGCACATCTTCACTACTATCTTCCTTAAAAGTACATTCCAGTCCTGAGTTCCCAAGTACAACCAACTCATTGCACCCATTACACCTAACAAACTGTGAACACTTTAACTTCTACACTGGTCTTAACCATTGTATTTGTAGCCTGGGGATAAATACTCAACACTAAATACAAGTAGCCTATTGACAACATTGTTAAGCCTAATGTTTTAGAATCAAATATATTACATTATTTTATTACTACTTTATCTTCACACTAAAGTAACAAGTCTTTACTATTGTTGATATTTATGTAATAACATAATGTAATTAGCCTGGCTTATAACCTGTCTATAAGCTGAATTTAAACTAATGGATCTAAAGTCAAGTTTATCCTTAAAACATCAACAGATAATCAACTAGTCTTTAGATTGTATTGGTTCAATAAAACAATGCATTTAACTTGTTTCATAATTAATCACTTAAAATACAGCAGACAATGTTAGACTAAAATATATTAAAGTTCTGAAAATAATCAAAATACAGCAGACGATGTATTTTAGTCTAACATAAGAGTTCTAGAAATAATCAAAATACAGTAGACAATGTTAGACTAAAATACATTAAAGTTCTGAAAATAATCAAAATATGGCAGACAATGTTAGACTAAAATACATTAGAGTCCTGGAAATAATCAAAATACAGCAGACAATGTTAGACTAAAATACATAAGAGTTCTAGAAATAATCAAAATACAGTAGACAATGTTAGACTAAAATACATTAAAGTTCTGAAAATAATCAAAATATGGCAGACAATGTTAGACTAAAATACATTAGAGTTCTGGAAATAATCAAAATACAGCAGACAACGTTAGACTAAAATACATAAGAGTTCTAGAAATAATCAAAATACAGCAGACAATGTTAGACTAAAATACATTAGAGTTCTGGAAATAATCAAAATACAGCAGACAATGTTAGACTAAAGACATTAGAATGAACAGTATAAAACAATAATATTTTTATTAGAAAGCAAAAGAAAAAATCAAAATGCAACAAGTAAAATTAGAGAGACAGTATCATTGGATCACCTGTTTTAACCAGCCACACCACTATACAGTAGTGTGTTATCTGTCAGTCAGTAGACACTAAAAGGACATCACATAAGGGATGCTTAACATTGCAATATGTACAGTTGTGACCTCAGTAAAATGTGCACATGCCATGAATCACAAGAAGAATTACACACTCTGTAGGCTACAACACAGCATGAAATATGAACTTCAAAAGCAAGAAATAAAAATATTTGTTACTCCTAATTTTGGTTTTATTTACTCTTGAAACAGAACACCTTCGGGGACCCTGCGAAAGCACATCTAGTTTTTAGTCTAGGAGTTTGTGACAAAGTTTTAATAAATTAGACCATGCTACAAAAAAACATCATGGACTATTAAACTAATTTTCATAAGAACAAGTTCATCAATCTGAGAAATTATTCAAATCTCACCATCATTTGCAGCCAAAGAAGGACAGAAGGTTTTATTTTGTTGCTCAAAGCAGCACTGATCACTCTTCATATATTCTAAGTAATCATCCAACCAGCTTGCAGGCTCTGCCGCAATATACGTTCTGAAAAAAGTTACAAGTTGGGTTATCAGTGAAGTTCCCATGCAGAAAAACCTAACATAAATTCCAGCTTACAGTTGTGTATTTACAGAGTACTTTCTTTACGTTACAGTTAACGTGCGTTTCAAACAGGAGTTAAGTCGATGTAGATAAACTCAGCTGTCACTCACAATCCTTGTAAACCATTACAATCAATCTGTCAATTTTTGTTATAATAATCATTATGATAACACAGTTAAACTGCTGACAATGATTTGTTAGCTATAAATGTGTTTCATATATCATGGTTACCATGACAACTTACTTTTCACTGAGTTCTGCCGCCCCCTTAATTTGAAAAAACAAGCTGTCATTTCTACACGATGGCAGTGCACAAAGTCTGTTCTGAAGTCTGACATCTGAATAATTGTAGCCGGCTGTGATGACAAAGTAAACGGGAGGTCCCACAGATAAATACTGGTACAGATACTTGAAGTAATTCAGTAGGTACGAGTCCTGGGTGAAAAAAAATCCATATTCATACACATATCGAGTAGTGTTAGAACCTATATTGTTGCTACATAAAGATACACACTTTATAAAAACAAACTTACTTTCACAGTTCAGTATCCTGGACTATGTTGTTGCTACATAAAGATACACAATTTATACACAAACTTACTTTCACAGTTCAGTATCCTGGACTATGTTGTTGCTACGTAAATATACACACATACTGAACTGTGAAAGTAAGTTTGTGTATAAAAACTGGACTATGTTGTTGCTACATAAAGATACACACTTTATACACAAACTTACTTTCACAGTTCAGTATACTGGACTATGTTGTTGCTACATAAAGATACAGAATTTAAACACAAACTTACTTTCACAGTTCAGTATCCTGGACTATGTTGTTGCTACTATATAATGATATACTGTTGTTTGATGTTACGTTATTCTGTAAAAGTTCAATAATGATGCAGAAAACATGGCACTAACTCTATGTGCTCCCTTTCTTTTTAGTTTTCACACAGGGGGACAAAGGTCTTGAGTTTACTACTGCTTCAGAAATACTCTGGACAAGAACCCACATAACAGTTCAAGAAATCTTTAAGTTACTGTTATGTTTTAGTATCAGTTACAAACTACTTAAAAAAAAGGTTGTTTTTTTAAATATTATGCAAGTATTTACTTCAGGCATGGAAAGATCTTGATCAAATCCAACATCGATCTTGTCTATCACAGCCATAGAAGAACAGAACCAGGCCAAAAAAGCTAACAACTGAAAAGAAAAACAGAGAATTAACACACGAGTAGTTTTAAGTTTTACTGTCAAACAACAATCTGTCAATTCAATCAAGGCAAGTTATACAACAAGGTTAAAATTAAAAGTAGAACCATTTAACCCTCTCACTATGGGCAGGTCAAAGGGCACATCACGATGTTTTAGAGAGTTGTTTTAAAAATTTAATTAAACAAATTTATTATGATTGTATGTTAATAAAATTGGCATCACAACATATTTTATAACTCAAGTTTTAATACTATGTATGTTTTAATTTCTTAGTTCAAAAGAAAATATTTAAAAAACATGCCAAATATGCTTTTTGGTGTGCCATATGGCATGACTACTTGTCTTATTGCTCAGTTTATATTTTATTACACCTACTATACAACATCTATAGTTGTTACTGAATTAGAAACTCAAATTTCAGACATTTACAAGCTAGAATATACATTAAGAACCTTCCACCTTTTTGATTTGCTGAGATATCAATATATTTTGATGATACCATGGTAGCACCACCCACTAATCCATTCTTTTGAAACCTCTTGTCTACTCATGCCTATTTCTTGTAAGCATGTTTATAGCCAATATAAAGAGCACATTCCATGCTATGTAAATCTGACAGTCATTTTTAATTGGCTTGAAGGGTTGGTTTTAATTTCATGCAAAACTACACAAGGGCTATCTGCGCTAGCCATCCCTAATTTACCAATGTAAGACTAGAGGGATGGCAGCTAGCTAGTCATCACCACCCACCATCAACTCTTGGGCTACTCTTTTACCAACGAATAGTTGGATTGACCATCCATTTATAATGTCCCCACGGCTGAAAGGGCAAGCACACTTGGTGGGACACGGATTCGAACCAACGACCTTCAGATTACGAGTCAAGCTCCCTAACCACCTTGCTATGCCGGGCCCCAGCTTGTAGGGGAACCTTTTAATTTCACTGGTCGTAGTGAAGTCTGTTGACTAAGTCATTGCTCTGACTTTTTAAATTACATATGGCTTAATTAGAAAGCCACGTAAATTAGTGGTTTTATATATGCCAGTATAATAATTTGATAATTTTTTGGTTTTCTAAAATTCATCTTTGAAATCTACAAAAATTAATTTGTCTTCCCCCTGCACTTGAGAGAACAAACAAGGCTTAACAAGTATCATGTGCGAGTACATATCATTAACATCGTAAGTACTAGAAATCATTGTTTTTCTATATGTATATATATAAAAGTATTCAAGTTGAATACTTCTGATAAGTTGGTGTCATTTGACATTGTTTTGATGTTTTCTTAAGTTACGGTGGAAGATGATATAAACCGTTAGGTTAGTTTAAGCTTCAATTTATCCAATTAAAATCATTATTTTAACTACATTGTGTGTTGAAAATTCCTCTTTCAAAGTTAACAAAAAGTACTATAAGTAAAATATTCGATTAGCTATGAGTTCCTTTCTTTCCCCACTTCTATGTTACCTTTATATTGATAATTTTGAATGTATTGCTCTTGATAATGCTTCTTTAAAACCTGTTTGTTGGACTAGATTCAAGGATGTTTTTAGTTTGGCAGCATGGAGATACCAAGTTAAAAACATAGGCTGATTATCTAAATAATGTTGATCTTCAGATAACAGATTAAACGAGATAACTGTTTTTTTTTTAGATGTATTTGTTAAAAGAAATAATAACGGAAATATTTCTACCACTACTTATTCGAAACCACATTCAGTCTCCTTGCTGCCTTGTGAACGATCATGTCTTCCGTTATCTTAAAAACTAGCAGCTTTTTATACTTTCATAGACAGAACATTTGATATTTGTTCAGATGAAATTAATTTGAAGAACAAATTGAATTATATAAAAAAACATTGCTAATAATAGAGGTTATAATGTTGGCATCACTGAATGTATTATACAGAACAAATATAACTCCAGTTTTATTAAGCAGTGTTCTAGATCAACTCTGATATTACAATTAATAGTACAGTAATATCACTATACATACTGAGTGTAACCAGCCAAACTGCCAGTGTGTTCAATAAACAATTTTATTTCTACTACTAAACCGATAAACAAGATTAAAACAACACTTCCTAATACTAAAGATAAAAACTATACCTCAGTTTAAAAATGGTATACAAGAAATTAACCATTAATGTAATAAAAAACATTACTCAAACTAAACTTAAAATATCATCTTAATGAACATAAGGGTTATGTACATATTAAAACAATGCTAATTTATACACGTGTTGAACACACTGTCGAAACAATGGCATGAAATAATAGCTTTAAATACACCTAACACTGAAAGTTAATTAAATGTTAGAGAATGAATAGAAATTTTGTGTTGTAAATTAAATCATTCTTCACTAAATAGAGATGAAGGGTAAGCTGGTGCTAATACACAGCTTTGGAAAGAAATATTAATTTCCTATGTACAATATTCATAACAACCTTAAAGTTCATAACGACCCAAAATTCTATAAAACTACCATTTGTCATGTATGTTTTTATTCCAGATTATGGTAGCATAAAGCTACCAAAACATGTAGTCTTTCACTGTTGGTCATCATCCAAATAAAGTCATTATTATGCATTTTATATGTTGTTTCAAACTTTTCATTTTAAATATCTATTAGTTAAATTCTCTTAGTTAGGTGACATACTAATCTACAAGGTAACATATATTCCAACTCACCACCACAAATCGAACAGAGTTCTTCATAAGGAAAGGAGCATAGATATTTTTGAAACATTTGAACAAGAGGCTCTGTGAGGCTTTAGTTTTCTTGATCTTTTTGGAAGCTTGGACACAGCAACAAATGTCTAAACGGTTATCCTGGATGAGAAATTTCAAATTTATTTAAACTCAGTCCTTCTTATATTAAACTTGTAACATGAGTTACAAGAAACATACCAAAAGCTTAACCTCAGATACATCTGCAAGAAACATACCAAAAGCTTAACCTCAGATACGACTGTGAGAAACATACCAAAAGCTTAACCTCAGATACATCTGCAAGAAACATACCAAAAGCTTAACCTCAGATACATCTGCAAGAAACATATCAAAAGCTTAACCTCAGATACATCTGCAAGAAACATACCAAAAGCTTAACCTCAGATACATCTGCAAGAAACATATCAAAAGCTTAACCTCAGATACATCTGCAAGAAACATATAAAAAGCTTAACCTCAGAT